ATACGATCGGTTCAATACACGCAATTTATGAAGCTTTCAAGTTGAAACAGAAGAAAAAGTGAAGATGTTTGCGGAAATCGCATTCGCTATGAAATCACTTATTCACACTGGTGTCTTTATGAAAGACAAACCATCAGAATCATCATCAAAACAACTCATTTTTCTCGACTTCGCAATGAACGAAACATACGCCAGTCCTCGGCCATTGCTTCGAATAACTATCGATTTTTTAACAACTTTTCATTTGAAGACTATCACTTAGGCCACCTATCATCTCGGAACTACGATTAAGAAAAAACTTCAGCCAAGTTCTGTTAAAACTTCGTATATGCTAGAGAAATAGATCAATACGTGTGTGTACTAAAAATCAGATTTCATCAGAATGTGGATGTGAATACAATGGTAGCTGTGTAGGTCTATTTTTTAACCGCACTCACTCACACACACTCTTATTCCAGTAACTATTTGGTGAAGTATGCTCGGCTCTTGCATTGCCTTATCTTTATAAGTAGAGTGTTGACAGAGAAACTTGTTTATCGACAGACCGCTATAGACACTGCACGTGTCTTTATTCTTTTCTGCATTAACAAAAATGTTGAGATCGTAGTCTGTTGTATTCATTTGTGTATTGATGAGAGATTTTTTTTATGTAGACTTTCTACAAACGGTTGGAAAAGGCAGAGATTATCTTTCTTACTTTTTTCCGACTATGTGACACTTTCTCGAAGCCTCTATCCAATATGAGTATCTTCTTCACAAATATTACAATAGAAACGAAAACAAACCATATGTAGATATATATATCTTTGTATTATGATAAACAATATGGGTAGTTGTCTATGCTTTCCTACACACACTTGCGCAGAGACTTGTACTAATTCGTTCTCTACTATAAGTAAAATATATGCGTTTTTATTCCACAATTTACTGGTCACCACTAGAAAAATAAATATTTGATGGTCTACTACTGGTAATCGTCTAATGTTGTTGAATCGGATTGTTTCATTCAAACACATGATCAGACTATTCCTTGCTTATCTTTCGAGTTAAATAAATTTTTAACTGTAATTTTAAACAAGAGATAAAGACTATTCGATCTCGTAGATGTTTATAATCCTCATTCATATATTGTATTTTTACTCTCCTAGTACTTCTATTGATTCTTTTTCTTTTATCATTCATCATTAGACATTGACTTTTTACATGAGAATCCGTCGAGTTTTACCTTTAAACTATGCAATCGCAGAAGTTTTTTTCTTCTGAATATGCGCTGCGATCTTACTTGATTCGAGTATGTTCTTCGGTAAATAAGAGCGTGTCTTTATCTCTTCACAAATAAAAATGTGACAAAATGAAAGGTACAGCATGCTTACGATCGATTCTCTTTCTCGTTATTGACACATCCATCTTTTATTATTCCTATCAGTTACTTATTTTGATCGAGAAACAAAACAGATACTTTGAAGACTAGGATGCTTTAGAAAATATATTGCATAACAAAAATGTGATGAACAAATTGTAGGTAAGCGTATAATTTTTTATTCGAAATTTCCTTGTTTGATTATGCTTGGAGTTTTATTTCAGATGTATAGAACATTTTATTTTGTCTCTTTGAAAATTTCTCTTTGTTTGAAAAGAATTCTTTCTTTTTTCTTACACGAAAAGAGAATCTTCGTAACATAAACTGATACACATATGAGAACAATCATTCGACTCAATAAGTTCTATGTGTAATATTTTGAGCGATGGACAATAGAAACAATAATTGGATTCATAGTTGGAATATTAGTTCACTTGAGTGAGTACTGAAAGAAGATATGGCAAAAATTCAAGAAAATTAATGCGCTCTACTAAGCGAAGAACAACGAAGTATAGCTTAGTTTAATTTTGAGTTCATGAAATATGATACCAATGATATCCGAGTTTTATTGAATTTTCATGGACTTCATAGTGTGGCAGAAAAGCTTGCGCAACCTCCGATGTATTTCTTATTTGTTTCGAACACCGAATTTTTTTCTATAAGTTCAAATTTGAAGAACATTTAGGGAATGTGTCAACTCGTCACGTTTTTTCTTGTCTGGTTTTCGTAACGAATTGACAGTACGAAAGCCTGTGACAGAGCTTTCGTAACGACAGAATCAGGGCTTTCGTAACAAAAAATCAGGGGTTTCGTAACAAAGTTTACAGGGTGATCGTAATTGGTGTTTTAATATGTACCACTACAGAGCTTTTGTAACGAAAAGCATGTAATTTCTGCAAACTCAGTTCAGCTATCACCCTCATCCTCATTACGAAATCCCTGTTTCTCCGTTTCGAAAGCTCTGCAACTGTTACGAACTCCCTGTATTAATCGTTACGATCGCCCTGTAAATTTCGTTACGACATCCCTGTATTTTTGGATATCCCTATTTTTGGTGTTACGAAAGGTCTGATTTTTGCTGTTTGTTCAACTCGTCACGTGACGAGTTGAGACGTTCTCAACATTTACATAGCTATTAAAAATTTTAAGGAGCTTACTTATGTTCGATTTAGATTTTGTTGCATTATTGTGCACTTCGTTAGATTCTCCAAGTCTACTCAGAGAAAATATTAGTTTTTCGATGTTTCGGTTCTGTTAAGAGTTCTAAAAGTACTAGAGAAATCACAGTTTTTACATTGATTTCCGTGTTACGCGAATTTCAATTATTTTTCAGTTATGTCTTTTGAATTTTATTCTATTTTTGTGGACTTCACTAATTACTATGAAAACCGAAAATACGCTTTTTTATCCTTTGTGTTTTTCTAAAAAAATTAGAAGTGTGTAATTCACTAATAAGATCTATGTATTGTGTTTTAAAATGAAATATGATTGTTGATGAAATATTCACACAAAGTATGACAGATATATGTCATTGAAAGTATTAATAGTACTCTTTCGAATTTTGTCTTTAACAGACAGTGAAAATTTTCAATAGTGCACAACATAATGGATCGAAACAGTGACAAACATCTAAGTAGTCACTGCATCAATTTTGCGAGCGATTATCGAGCTCTCTCCATCAAAATGTTTCTTCTCACTAAACGAAACCTTGGTCAGACAATAGCTGAGATTCTTCTTGCATGTATATTTATGGGTCTACTTATCGGTATGCGTTACGTTCTCATTCGTGATTTCAATGCTGCCTATCAAATACCACGTTTTCGTCCACAAGATAAAATGTTATTTAGTGAGCTACAAGCGAACATAACCTATTACTATCCTGGTAGATATTTGTTTGTATTCCGATTTCGAATTTGTTACATTTTCATGTACAGCAAATCCTTGTACAACCGCAATTGTCACCAATACTATCACTCAATTGTCAACTCAATGGTCCGCATTTCCTACTGCCGGTTTGTAGTCATGATATTTTTGATTTGTTTTCAACAGTCGGTGATAACTCTTAAATTTAAATTGTACACAGTTAATGGGTGGCATGTCGATGGTTTTCTTTTCAGGGAAAATGATTGAGGAGTAATAAGAATAAAAATTATTTCTTGACGAAAGAAATTTTTGATATTCATAGCGCATTCCACTTGAAAAACTTATGCGTGCGCCATTGCATATAAGTCTCTTTATTTCAGTACAAAGTCTTTCTAATCCAAACATTTCTTCACTATCAAATATGACACAAGCGACAATTTATGCCTTTATCTATTTTACCAATCTTGATTTTTGTACCAGTCCATCCACAATGCCAGATACAATAGCCTATACTCTACGCATGCAAGAGTATGCTAATTTTGTTTTCTTTTCTAATGCTATAAAAATAATCCTAATACATAGAAATGGTTCATATTATTATCGTGCTCAATCGGTAAAAATTGATCCAAATATTTATCGATGGAAGCGTTCTCCCAAAGATTTTTGCCGAGGTATCGATCATTTGTTTTCCTTTTGGTCTTTATAGATCAGTGTCGTCCCGTGTTTAGACATTAGTACAACTACTATGTATACTTCTCAATTTTTGGGCATCCAATATTTTATTGATTTGTCAATTATTCAATACTCGACAAACATCAGTCAGAATCCATCGAGTGTAAGTCAATTTTGTTTCTTTTTATTTGTACAAATCGAAGATAAATGATCATAGATATTCATGAATCATTTCGGTTGTCCTGAATATTATTATGATACATTTCAATCGGAATTTGGATTTTTTATTCCAATCTTATTTTCACTTACTTATATGATGACATTCATGTTGAACGTTGGCTACATTGTTGAGGAACGTCGGAATAAAGCCAAAGTAAAAAAAAAAACTAAGAAGACGCGATTGAATACTTTTTTTTTCACTATGTGATTGAATTGTATTCAGGAATATTTACGTATATTTGGTCTTCACACTTGGATTAATAATTTAGTATGGATCACTCGTTCGATGTGTGTCTATGTTGTGCTAAGTAGCATTTTAACTGGATTCAGTGTACTTGTTTTACCCAGTTCGGATACAACATCAAAGAGTGTTGGCAAAGCCGTATTTAATTATGCTCATTGGACATTGATATGGACGATTTTATTCGTTTATTCTATTCATTTGTCAAGTTTTAGTATTTTTTTTGGACAGTTTTTTAGTCGTCGTAAGTTGACTTCTTTTTTTCTCTTGCTCATCTTTTTTTAATCGAAAAATTGTTTTTTGTTAAAATGTTATAGCTTTATTAGCAAAATTTCTTGCTTTTACCATATGGATTTTAACTTTCATCGATTTTTATATTGGAGCACCAGTTGCCATTCGATATTTAATGTGTCTATTTCCTAATACTGGTCTCTTGTTTTGTTTGGAAGTCATTCAACAATACGAACGCAAAAGTTGTGAGTGATTTTTACTTGAATTGTGCATACACATGCATACAGAACATTTCAAATTTTATTTATTTTAGTCGATATGGCCACATTCAGAGAACTTTATTCCAATATATTTATTTACCCATTGTACATCGGTATTTGCCTTCTTCTTATGATTGTCTATTCAATTATCTATATGATTTTGGCTGTATATATTGAACGTGTCAATCCAGGTCAATTTGGTATATCACAACCATTCTATTATCCATGTTTTCCGAGAAACAAAAAAAATTCATCAACAGTATCAATTAGTGATTATGAAGAGAATGTTTGGTCATCAATGAACAAAACAAAGACTAAAATTCATGAACATAATCATTGGATCGAGATGGATTCGAATACTGATAAAGTTTGTCCATTAATGCGTATAAAACATTTAACAAAAGTAGGCTATTTGATAATTTCATTTTTTTCTCATGTTTATTGACTCGTTAATAGGTATTTGGCAAATTGGCTGCTGTCTCAGATTTTTCGTTTGATTTCTACAAAGGTGAAGTATGTGCATTATTAGGACACAATGGTGCAGGCAAAACAACGATTACATTTATTCTCGTCGGTATGCTATCTTTATATCAAAATGATATAGATCTCGATTGAATGTCAATTTCTATAGGTATGATGGAAGCTACATCGGGTTGTGTTATTTTACAAGGTCTAGATCATCGAATACATATTCAAAAAACTCGAAAAATGATTGGTTTCTGTCCACAATATGGTATAAACCGATGAAATTTTTTGTATAAAGAATCAGAAATGAATATTCTGTTTTTATGATCAGATATTCTATATGATAAACTATCTGTTCAAGAACATTTGGAATTGCTTGCACAAGTATATTATCATAATCAATGAATTGTTATTGACGATTTTCATTATTAATATTTGTAGATACGTCATTTAGATAGAACAACAATCAATAAATCGATTGATACTATTCTAGATTTGATTGGACTTACCAATGATCGACGTACACTTTCGAAAGATTTGTCCGGTGGTATGAAACGTCGATTATCAATTGGAATCTCATTAATAGGTGATCCAAAAGTAAGTCCAATCAATTAATCAACTAAGAAACATCACATCATGTATCATATTGTTTTCTGGATTCTTATCGTATTCTAGAAAGACTTCAGCATTTCAAATTTTTACTTGTGTACGGAAAATACAATATATCTATCTTTTTCTTTTTATTAAATGTAGGTACTCATTCTTGATGAACCGACTAGTGGCATTGGTAAGTGCTACTGATTGTTAACGAGCGAATAAAAAGAAACTGTACTCAGTAGTTATTCAAAATGGAAAGAAAAAAAAATTTCAATTAATTGTGATATGAGACTCTTGTTTATACATAAATAGTTTCATCTCAATAAGTTTCATTTTTTGAATCTGAGCATTATCAGATAACATTAACATCGTCGCGTTAAAAAAAATTTTTTCGGTTTTGTTCTACAATGACTGTTTTTCATCTAGAAAAAAAAATTACCAATGGTCATTTTTTAAGAGGATAGGAAATTTTCCGTTAAACAAAACTCTTTCCGCTTGTAAAAGAACATCCTTCACTAGTGATAATGTTTTCATGTGACAAAAATCAACAAATCTTGTAAAAATTTCTAAATGTCACTGGTGGAAGTTTTATAAAAACTTGAAAAGCCATTGTTCATCTATATAAAAAAAACTATTACAAGTTTCTAATGAAAAAAAGGCTCTTTTCATGGGACCAATTATTTTTGAAATTGGTCTCGTTATTGCTGGTCTCACAGGAATGTCGAGTTAATCAATTTTCATTGGGCATACATACATTTCTTGTTTAAGATCCGTACAATCGTCGTCTCATTTGGACGATCATTCAAAAAATGAAAGATGCTGGTAAATGTGTCATTCTAACGACACATTTTCTTGAAGAAGCCGATATTTTATCGGATCGCATTGCGATTATGAGTCATGGTCAGTTGCAAGCGAGTGGTACACCAGATTTTCTCAAAAAACAAACAGGTATAATTTTATATATGATAAACAAAAGAATTTCAATAATATTTAAAATAAATTTCAGAATATGAATATCGACTTTTTATTGACAAACAAGACATGTGTAATACTGATAATATTGCTCAATTTATTCGACAACGTGTTCAAACAGCCGTCTTAGAACGTGAAACATCATCGGAACTTGTTTTTGGAATTAAACGTGGTGCAACGCAACATATTGGTCGATTGATCCGTAGTCTCGATGAACAATCTCAACAACTTCCTATCAATGGTTATGGTTTATCTATGACAACTATTGAAGAAGTCTTTCTCAGGTTTATAATAACGGATGTTCTATGAAGAATTGATCTCCCATAATTTTGTCTATAACTTTGTAATATTTCATTTCTCTGACTCATGATTTATATCAAAAAGTACGTCGTTTGATGCTTTATCAGTCGGTATAAAAGATAGGTTCAAATTTGACACATAGCAAATAAAAATGTTTTGTAAAATGGTACTTTGTTACAACTTTTGAGACAAAATTGATCATCCGTATTTTATAAAGCTCTTTCGACTGTCTTCAGTTGATGATCTAAAGTATTTATTATTTCATTGGGCAATTCAAAGACATATGTGAGCATCTAAGATAATCGAGATTGATAGAATTATACATTGCTTACATGGAACCAATGTCATTAATTGGACACCACTTTCGGAAATTTTTTTGAAACTTTAGTCCATAGCACAAATATAAAATTAAAAAGATTGTATGCATTATGAATTTTTCAAATCACTGTATCGTTCAAGAAACATGAAATCTTTGCAGCTCGATTTTAGTGTAATTTGAGCCTAAGTTCTGAAGCAAAAACTGCATTGAAAAAGTATCATTTTGCCTAATATCTTAATTTAGTACGCGTCGAACTTCTACTGATAATCTTTTGTGATAAACTTTGATTTTAAAATATTCTGTACAGATGGTAGAGAATCAATCAAAGCTTGTTTACATATCAGCGAAATTATGAGACGTTCATTCTTTATAGGACATCCGTCAGATATTTTTTGTGAGTAAAAAAAAAAAATTTCTAAAACTGATAATCATTTTATTCCCAATGATAGCCGTTTGTATATTAATATTTTTGATCGTTAACCGTTCTATTGAAATTTTAGACTTATTAAAGAAGAAGAACAAACAAAAATTGAACAGCATAACCATGATCGACAAGTCAACAGAGAGAATCTAGCAAAGAATAGTATGTATTTTTGCCAATATTCTAATTATATATAGTAATATGGATAACTTTCGATACGGTATTGAATAGAGACCATAGTCATATTTTGTTTGAATGCATCTGTTAATATTCATTGATTTTTCAGTGTTTTCTGTACACTACAATCATACATCTGGTATTCATCTCTTTTGTACTCAAGTTTGGGCATTGCTTGTCAAACAGTCGATTCTTAGTCGGCGACAAATTGCATTTCTTGTCGGCTTTTTTTTTATACCGATTATTCTCGAAATTTTAACAGTAGCCATTTTACCAACACCAAAAACTATTGAAGTATCAATGTTACAAAATGAACGTGTAGCAGATGCTCAAGTTCAATTATATCCATCTATCTATAATCCACATACTGTTATCACTTATTCGAATAACCACGATAGCAATGCTCAATCACGTCTTATTACCTATTTGGCAAATACAAATGCAACTATCAAACAAATATCTACAAATACAATTGTTAACGAAGTTGTATCTCAATGGAATGAATCCGAAGACATATTTGTAGATAAATATCAGATTGGCTTTGGTCTTTTGAATAATTTAACATCGAGTAATCAATCATTGACATTTGACGTTTACTTCTCAACTGTAAATTATCATACCATGGCAACAAGTCTTAGTGTTGCTACGACAAGTCTATTTCAATTCTATGCAAATTCATCATCAAAAATGATAGTTACTACTAATCAACCGATATTGACTCGTGGAGAACCACTTAGTGAAGAAGATCGTTTTTTTCAAATGATCTTTTGTTTCGACACACTTCCATTATCATTATTCAATTTTATCAATAGTGTTCTTGCGGCAGTATTTATTGGAATTCTTTCATCGAATTCAATACGTGAACGTCTAACCCATTCAAAAGATCTTCAATTATTAACTCATTTATCGAAATTTACATATTGGTTTTCTACGGCCTTATACGATTTTAGTATATGTTTGATTCTATGCGCCATATTAACTATTATTGTAAAGGTAAAAGTAACAAATGACAATTGAATTCAAAATCGTCGTCTATTGCTTTAGATCGGTGCCGTGTATCGAGTTGATTCTGGTGCCGAAGTTCAAATCTATATAACCGATCAACATATGGGCTATTTATTTTTAATGTTTATTTTATATTCATTAGCGTCATTACCATTTATCTATGTATATTCTTTTATTCCGGGTACGGAATTAATTGGTTTTATTATATTTTTTATTGTGAATGTACTTGTGTGTTTTCTCGATGTCGTTCTCGGTTTTATTGGAGTATTTTCTGGTAGTAAACCATTGCCTGATGGAACTCTTGTAAATCGAACAGGAACAATTATGACAAATATACGTTGGGTCCTATCGGCTTTATTTCCGACAGTCAATCTTAAACATGCTCTATTTAATATTCGTCTACGCTCTAGTGATTTGTGTATTGCTGCAGTAAATTCAGTGATGGGCACAAATTATTCATCAAATGAACCGTGGATGTCATTGAGTGAACCTGGTCTAGGAATACAATTTTTGATTTTTATCGGTCAAATGATCTTCTGGTGGTTTATTGTCATATTTCTTGAAGCATTATGGAAAATGTGTTTGAAAAAAATTCGACATTGTTCTAAACGACAGAAACAAACTGTTGTAACAGAAATTGAATGGAATGATACAGTAGGAAATAGATACAAACAAGAAACGAAAAGTAGATGATTTGTAATTGTATTTTATTTTGAATAGGAACTTGATGAAGATGTTCGAAATGAACGTCAATTAATTTTGAATCGAAATCAATTAACAAAATCGGCTGTTGTTATCGTTCGAGATCTTGTACAAGAGTTTAAGAAACGAAAAGAAAAATCAATGACTAAACGTATCCATAGAGCTGTTGATCATCTCAATTTTTTTGTTCCATCTAGTTCATGTTTTGGTCTATTGGGTATATAAGAATAAATGTTTCTTTCATTTCTATTTTCTTGCAATTAATCAGGAGCTAATGGAGCTGGTAAAACAACAACATTTCGCATGTTGATCAATGATATTCAACCGACATCAGGCGAAGTGATTATTAATCGGATGGTAATTGTTGCATAATTTCAAAGATATAATCGAGTTTTGATTTTTATATATAGAGAAACAATTCTGAAATAGGTTATTGTCCACAATTCGATTGGCTTGTTGACCATCTTAATGTTAGAGAAACATTAACTTTATTTGCTAGGTAAGATTATAAATACTGGAAAAGACTAACATCTTGTGAGTAATTTTACCACTACAATTCGTGGTGGTGAAGAATTTTCAAATATATTACGATTGATTGTCATCCAGGATTTTTTTCTTTTGATGGGGACGAAAATTGAATAGTGATGAGTCTATGTCTAATTAGATTGAAAGGTCTGACATCAGCTGATATTCAAAATATTTGTATTGACATGATTCAATGTTTTGGTCTTGATACATACGAAGAACAAGAAGTACAAAAACTCAGGTGAGTACATTAGTAATTTATACAATCATCTTTGCTTTTAATGTAATTGCTAGTGGTGGAAATAAAAGAAAATTAAGTGCAGCACTGGCATTTATGGCTAATCCGACATTGATCTTCTTGGATGAACCTACTACGGTAAGACTTTGATAAAAAAAAATGTGCATATAAATCGATAAGAAATAGATAAGATTAACATAATATTTGTATTTAGGGTCTAGATGCAGCTGCCAAACGAAAAGTATGGAAAGTGATTCGAGCAGCTCGTGATGCTGGTTTAACAATTATCATGACAAGTCACAGGTAGATGAAGAAAAATCTTGATTTTAAATAACTACGGTTTCTTCTATGAAAGTATGGAAGAGTGTGAAGCACTGTGTACTAGTAAGTTTCTTCTCCATGAAAAAAAAACTCTTATAGATTGTTCGATGATCTAAAGAAATCGGAATTATGAAATCTGGTCAATTTGTGTGTCTTGGCAGTCTACAACATCTGAAAAATCGCTTCGGTAACGGTTATGCCGTGCAAGTTAAAGTTCCAATTGATAAAGCAAATGAACTGAAACATGAACTCGAACTCAGTTTGTCTGGCATCAATATCGAAGGTAAAATATACTGTTTATGCAACACTCTTTATTTGTAGAAATATTTTTAAAAACAAGATGAAAACAATGGAATGCTCTATTGTCATGTACCACTATCGGTATCACACGCTGATGCACACTCGACGACACATTCATACAATTTGGCATATGTATTCGAATTATTCAATAAGAAAAAAGAACAGAATGAAATCGAGAGTTTTTCATTAACTCAAACTACACTCGAACAAATATTTGTTAGTCTTATTGGTCACGAAGACGAAAATGGTGCTGCATTGTCCGATCTAGCGGCAAACGAAAGTGAGTTTTGGTATTATTAAAATCATTTTTTTTTTCTTCCCGTTTTATATCCATTTTAGATTCTGCTTAGCAACATCATTCTCTAATTAATAGAGTTCTTTCATTCATAATGTAGACTTTTTTTTTATGTTCCAGTAACCAATTGACAATAAAGTCAGTTATTATAATCCAATAAAACATACACGAGTATGTCATATTATTTACAAAAAGATTCAAGTAAATAACATTCATTGTCATCTAAAAGTATTTTCATGCTAAATAGAGACAATAACAAATCCATAAGCATAATATCAAATGTAGTCATATACACATTCATCGGTGTTACCTTCCAATTTAACATTATTTCAATCGTCATGTTAACCCTTTGATGACGAATTTATGCAGTGTTAGAACAAATAAAGTAGACATCTATTATTAACACCATATACTTTGAAAATTATTGGCGATCGAAATTTTTGCATTTATTAAGAAAGCCTATTTTACTTTATTCCAGCTTCCTTATCTAAGGGTTACAGATTTTCTTCAATCCAACTGCTTTCACAATCGAATGATAAATCATTGCAGTGCACGGTTAACTATAAGTTATTGTAGCTCTTGGATTTTTGACTTGAATCGTCGATATTGGAATTTCGCTTTTTGATCAACGCGACGAATACATCATTGATAAAATCATTTCCCGTATTGGTGGCAAACTTTTAGGATGCTTGTGCTAAATCGAACTGAATCTGCTGATAGAAGCGACAAATTTGTCGATTTGTTTTTATGATATTTTGATGACTTTGAATTTTGCTTCTTACACTCTGTTCAATGTTTATCACATTTGTTACATGAAATCTTCCTGGTATGAGTTATTTGAACTGCAATCATTACAATGGGGAAAAAAGAAAAGTTTCTATCTATCGAAATCTCTAGAACCTTAGATATCTCGAAAATTTGTCGAAATCTTGAGAAATGAGAAGGTAACAGGTAATTCGACTTTGATTCTGATCAATTTTCTAATGTATGATTCATTTATCCAATGAAGTCTTTCTATCAACGAATCATCATAGTATCAACATGATCAATACATTATATGGGCAGTTTTTACCATGCTCAATCGAAAAAAAGCAAGAATAAAAATATCATTACAAGTAAAAAAGAAAGGAAGCAATGAGCTTCGGTGTTGAATGTTAACAGAACATTATAAGCCAGATTTTACAAAGAAAATAACACAATACGATATGATATTGCGAATGATATTCTCGACAATTTGTTAACGTTGTACTGTCAAAGATTGATTCGAGCATTGAATGATTTTTGTACTCATGGATGATAAGGATTGATTGATTTATCTGAACAAAACTCTTCCTATGAACAGTATTACGTTCTGAAAGTTTATTTCTTCTGTCACTTGGATTTGTGTAATGCTTGCTCCGTAGTCTCATGTGAAGCTATACACAGATTCAGTGTAGTAAAAGGCTTTTATTAATATTTAACACATGTCACAATTTTTCAATCTTCTTACATTATTACTTATCAATCAATTGAAAAAAAATGAGTGTCTTTAGTACAAGATTACGTCAAGAAAACAGAT